CTAAACTGCCATCTAGACACATCAAGCTAAAATCATAGAAAGATTCCTAAACTGCCATCTAGACACATCAAGCTAAAATAATAGAAAGATTCCTAAAATGCCATCTAGACACATCAAGCTAAAATAATAGAAAGATTCCTAAACTGCCATCTAGACACATCAAGCTAAAATAATAGAAAGATTCCCAAACTGCCATCTAGACACATCAAACTAAAATAATAGAAAGATTCCCAAACTGCCATCTAGACACATGAAGTTAAAATCATAGAAAGATTCCCAAACTGCCATCTACACACATGAAGTTAAAATCATAGAAAGATTCCTAAACTGCCATCTAGACACATCAAGCTAAAATCATAGAAAGATTCCTAAACTGCCATCTAGACACATCAAGCTAAAATAATAGAAAGATTCCTAAACTGCCATCTAGACACATCAAACTAAAATAATAGAAAGATTCCCAAACTGCCATCTAGACACATCAAGCTAAAATCATAGAAAGATTCCTAAACTGCCATCTAGACACATCAAGCTAAAATCATAGAAAGATTCCTAAACTGCCATCTAGACACATCAAGCTAAAATAATAGAAAGATTCCTAAACTGCCATCTAGACACATCAAACTAAAATAATAGAAAGATTCCCAAACTGCCATCTAGACACATCAAGCTAAAATAATAGAAAGATTCCTAAACTGCCATCTAGACACATCAAGCTAAAATAATAGAAAGATTCCTAAACTGCCATCTAGACACATAAAACTAAAATCATAGAAAGATTCCTAAACTGCCATCTAGACACATCAAGCTAAAAAAATAGAAAGATTCCTAAACTGCCATCTAGACACATCAAGCTAAAATAATAGAAAGATTCCCAAACTGCCATCTAGACACATGAAGTTAAAATCATAGAAAGATTCCTAAACTGCCATCTAGAGACATCGAGCTAAAATAATAAAAAGATTACCAAACTGCCATTTATACACATCAAGATAAAATAATAGAAAGATTCCAAAATTGCTATCTAGAGACATCAAGCTAAAATAACAGAAATACAACATATTAAGGTAAAAGCTTTTGGAAGAAAAACATCGGTGCAAGCCAAACTTTATGGGTTGCTGACTGATTTACAACAGTCAGCCAAGTTCAGACTAGAGACAACACTGGAAATATTGATAATCTATTTTAAGCTAACAAAAGAAGAAGAAGAAGAATTTCCATAGTTACTTATTTTCTTTTCTGGTTTGTTGTGAGGACCCAGTCTGGTACTGGTACTGGCTGTGAACTTTTGTATGAGCTTTATATGAGATATTTCTGTGTGCTGACGGGGGATGTCTTGTGTTGTAAGAGAAGGGCTCGCTGTCCACATACTTGCATGTTAATTTCTAAATCCAGTTGACCATCTTCGGTCAATGTTGTTCCCATTGAAACTCAGAAGTCTGCTTAATGTCTCTGCACTCTACTGCTTTATGTAAGTTATGCTTAAGTTTCTTTCTATTGACATTATTGTGTCATTTCAGTGTTGATTCTCACACTGTTTGTTTACATTCTACATTCATACAGACAAGGAGCCAAAATAACATCAGCGCTGTCAACATTTGCCCATAGAGACATATCACACTAAGTAACAAGGAAGTTTCCCAAACATTCCCACACAGACACGCATGCCAAACTGTTTTGCATTTAAATAGATTTATGGCAAAGACGAGAACAGCTAGTCGCATAAAAGGGATTCACAGACTTTTATTGGAAGAAAGGTCGTGTATCTTATCTTCTGTAAAACAGACATGAAGAAGGGAACATGTCACTGCTCTACATTCATAAAATTTAAATACATTTTCTGTACAAAGTACAAGTATAATAAAACTAACAAAACTGTTGTAATGTGGAACTATAACTTCTTACATTTTCAAACATGGAATGGATTGTTTAATAAACAAACAAACAAAATATCTAACATATCACGCTATGTTACACCTATAAATAAAAAGTCCTAATCATATATGGAAATAAATAGCATTTAAATATTTTTTTTAATATATTATTTGAGGTTTAAAATGTATTAGCTGATACATTTACATATATTCTTATGAGATTTTGAAAAAGAATTTGCTGTCATGGACTTGTTGTACATTATTTAAACAAAATAGGCTACCAAAAAATCTGTTAATTAGTTTAAAGTAATGACTACAACATCATTTTAAATCTTCATTTCTGTGTGTGTGTGTGTGTGTGTGTGTGTGGGCGTGTGTGTGTGTGTGGGGGCCTGTGTGTGTGTGGGCGTGTGTGTGTGTGTGTGTGTGGGCGTGTGCACACAATCATCTTTTTTCCTGTGCTGCTGTTGTTTCATCTTCTTCTTTCTCCTCCTTTTCACTTTCCTGCTCCATATCATCCTCTTTTTTTCCCCTTTTCCTCCTCCTTTTTCTTGTCAGCACAAAAACGTGTTGTGTCACTGAAAGTTATTACCACCACATTTTGTATCATGGTTATCAACCCACTATTGCATCTGCTCCAAAATCATACAAACAATACATTAGTCGATGTTTGACCTTTTAAACAATTTAAAAACAGTTATAAAACATATAAAACATCACAACCTTTGGCTAAACAGACTATTTAAAAAAGGTACAAAATATTCACATTTAAAAATGTTAGGTGTATAAATAATACACCAATAGCTTACCGATGTATAAATATTGTACATATTCAAACACATTTGGAATGTTCAGATTTTGATTTAATATAAGGAATATAATAATATAGATTACAGATGAGTCAACATTAGCTGGGACAAACTTTAATATTCTTAACTTCATCTGTGTGTTTTCAACACTTTAAGTTTCACGGGTCACAGACTATACCAGCCATTCTCCATACTGATAGTTCCATGGCTCATTTATTTAACCAGCCACTCTCAACTCTGACAGTTCTGATAGTTCAATAATTTACAGACTGTAACAGCCACTCTCAACTCTGATAATTCCACGGTTCGAAAACTGTAGCAGCCAAACTCTTAACTCTGATAATTCCACAGTTTAAAGTCAGTATCAGCCACTCTCAACTCTGATAATTCCACAGTTTAAAGTCAGTATCAGCCACTCTCAACTCTGATAATTACATGGTTTACAGACTGTAACAGCCAACCTCAACTCTGATAATTCCACAGTTCAAAAATCATACCAGCCACTCCCAACTCTGAACCCCAAAGAACTATAAACCTTCTTCTTCTTCTTCTTATTATTATTATTATTCACGTTCACGAGCTGTAAACTCTGGCAGAAGGTTTTGGTTGTTTAGCCACTTGTGGACTCTAGTCCTGTTCCAGAACCTGAGTGTTGTGTGCACATCTGTTTTACAGATCTGTCTCATGAGTTTGCAGACTGTTGGTTTCTTGTCTCTCAGGCAGATGCACTCCAACTTTCATGGAAGCTCCCAAACAGACAACTCTTATGACATGCTTTTGGGTAGGCAGTGGGTCTGTTCAAGGTACAAAAATACCTGCTGGCTGGCATGATAAAAGTAAAAGTAAAGTAGAGGACCCTTTTCCCCACCTTCAGGCATAAAGGGCATATAGGGCTAGACCTATATTTTTATTTACCAACGTCACAAGATGGGTGATGTGGTCATCATCACGCGGCCGCCTCTACTTTCCCGGGACTGCACCCGGTACCTACTCAAGGCTGGGTCGACCTGGGAGTCAAGGTCATTTTTGAATAAAAGTCCGGCTCCGCCAGGGAGAAAACCAATGACCTTCCGATCCGCGGCGCGCGTCTAGTTGCTCGGCCACGGCGACTCCTGGCTGGCATGATGTTGACTACATTACCCATCCTGTGTTGACTACATTACCCATCCTGTGTTGACTACATTACCCATCCTGTGTTGACTACATTACCCATCCTGTGTTGACTACATTACCCATCCTGTGTTGACTACATTACCCATCCTGTGTTGACTACATTACCCATCCTGTGTTGACTACATTAACCATCCTGTGTTGACTGGTCTATAGAAGTCAAGATATAGCATTATATGCCCAGTGCGCCAGTGGCTTAATAAGGGATCTTTACTTTTTGAATTCATTTTGGGAAAAGCGTTAAAAACCAAAGAATCTTGTTCTCCTGTATCAATACATTAAATCTGTTCTCCTGTATCAATACATTAAATCTGTTCTCCTGTATCAATACATTAACTCTGTTCTCCTGTATCAATACATTAACTCTGTTCTCTTGTGTCAATACATTAAATCTGTTCTCCTGTATCAATACATTAACTCTGTTCTCTTGTGTCAATACATTAAATCTGTTCTCCTGTATCAATACATTAAATCTGTTCTCCTGTATCAATACATTAACTCTGTTCTCCTGTATCAATACATTAAATCTGTTCTCCTGTATCAATACATTAAATCTGTTCTCCTGTATCAATACATTAACTCTGTTTTCCTGTGTAAATACATTAACCATGTTCTCTTGTATCAATACATTAACCCTTTTCTCCTGTGTGGATACATTAACCCTGTTCTCCTGTGTCAATACATTAACCCTGTTCTCCTGTATTAATAAGTGCATAACTGAAATAACAAACATAATAAGTACTATGCAAACAAAGTAATATTGTAAAATTAGTATAAAACTGTCAATTCAAAAGCAGATATAGTAAACATATTAGCCTACACAATATGGTAAAGAAATGTACAGCACTGCATACTGCTATGCATATGAAGAGAAACAGGGGTCTACAAATTCAAAAAAACGTGGGGGGAAAATATTTATATAATCATAAAAGACGCTGTATATCTCAATTGCAAATTAGTATTGCTGAACTGAATATTGCCTTTTTAAAGGCCCCCTCCCCAACCCCACACTTTATAATAAAAATAAAATTCATGACAATCAACAACAACAACAAACATAATACAATAGCTAAAGAACAAATATAACACACACAAAACTATATAGACTCCTACATAAGAATAACATAAGAACTTATTCTCTTTTGAGTTAATTCCTTTCTATCTGTGTTCTGGCCTTGAGATCAGCAATCATCTTCTCAGATTTCTCTGCCCCCTCTAGATCTCCAGTCTGTAGCTGACACAACTTGTAGTAGAACCAGAAGGGCACCATGTCTGGCATCAGCTCTGTGCCCTTAACAAACAGGGCAGAATGTGAAAGAGGATAGAAACAGATAGAGAAATCAAGTAATGACACTACGGCTAAGGTGATTCAGCATTAGGTTTGTTACAGAGGTGTGAGATGCTTTAGATATCACATAGACTTTGTATTCTTCTTCCGCTGCCGCAATCCCTGGCTGTGAACTCCAGCAGAAAATCAAAATTCTTTATCTGTGTCTGAACTTTGATCTTGTTTCAGGACTTTAGTGTTGCATGCAAATTTATTTAAGAGATCTGGCTTTTGTGTGTGCAGACTATTGGTCTCTCATCTTGCAGGTAGATGTGCTCCAATCTACCACCTACATTAGCCAGCCCCTTCCTGTTCCTAGGATAAGAAAACAGAGTGTGCAGTGTATGTCTTGATTTCAGTTTCTGAGACAAGATGCTATCTATCAGCCAATTTTAAATGACAATAACATATTTTAGGGTGTGGTAATATTTCTTTTCTCCTTGGTACTATATATATATATATAAGCTGAAATATTTTGGTCATATCAAGTGCCACGACCAATTGGAAAAAATAATAGCAGAAGGCATGGTACTGGGAAGGAGGGGCAGAGGCCGACCAACACAGAGATGGACACAGGATATAAGTGACTCCTTCGGTATGAAAGTACATGAGGCGGGAGAGCTGGCAAGAGACCAAGTTTCTTCTAGGCAGAACATTATGACGGAGACGTTCTGCAAAGGATCTGCTACATGATGACATATATATATATATCATCATCATCATCATCATCATCATTCAGAACCATCATCATCATTCAGCACATTGGGTATACACATCAAGGCATGCAGGAGGGCCCATTACTTTTTACCTGTTATATGTAATATTTAGCAGACAGTTCACAGCTCAGTGTAACATGTGCAGTTTATAGATATATCCATAAATATGGGGTGAAAGTGTGGGGGAAAAGAAAGAAGAAAATGTATAAAAACACTTACCTTTTTATAAACTGGTAATGCATCTTGGTGTCGTCCCTGTTTCAGAAGAAACTCCCCATACTCTTTATAAGTGTCCCAGAGGTTTGGTGACAATTGGATGGCTTTCTTGAATGTTGTTTCGGCTTTCTTGTAATCACGCAACTGGAGATTTAAAAGCAGACAAAAAAGTGTGAAATAGGTCAGTTTTTCTTTCTAAAAACAGAATAACTGTAGATATTATCACAGACACTTGCCTTTATATAGATCTGAAGTGTTGATGTTTCTCATGTGGATCTGGGGAAAGAGAACAGACTCGCTGCCAATGAAGAGGCAAACGTGGAGCAAAATTCAACTAATTTAGGGATGTGTTGGGCTGAAAGTTGGAGAAATGCAGCCTAGCTGTTAACCACAACTTGCCAACTGTCCTTCTAAGGCTGAAAACAGAAACCATCAATCAATCAGTTTGTCCTCTCCAGCTGCTACCTATGGGATCACCATACCAGCCGGAGATTAAAGAATCTCATTCTGGACAAGCAGATCCCAAGCAGATCCCAGACACCCCATTCTGGACGGCAGGTCAACAAGGCAGATCCCAGATACCCCATTCTGGACGGCAGGTCAACAAGCAGATCCCAGATACCCCATTCTGGATGGCAGGTCAACAAGCAGATACCAGATACCCCATTCTGGATGGCAGGTCAACAAGGCAGATCCCAGATACCCCATTCTGGACGGCAGGTCAACAAGCAGATCCCAGATACCCCATTCTGGATGGCAGGTCAACAAGCAGATCCCAGATACCCCATTCTGGACGGCAGGTCAACAAGCAGATCCCAGATACCCCATTCTGGACGGCAGCAGATCAGATACTCCATTCAAGCAGCATACCAGATCCCACCCCATTCTGGACGGCAGGTCAACAAGCAGATCCCAGATACCCCATTCTGGATGGCAGGTCAACAAGCAGATCCCAGATACCCCATTCAACCTCCAAAAAAGTTATAATTAAGGCAGCAATAATGTTATACCAGCCTGGTCTAACCTGATGTCCATGTGGGTAAGGATGAATGCAGAAAAAAAAAAGAGGAAATGCTGATGTTGGTCTGAGTTCCAAAAAGGGTTTGCATAGATTATTATGGGATGGTAACCTGAACTTGTGTATTTAAACGATACCAAAACTGTAGTTAATCATTACATCAAGTGATAACAGTCTCACAACATTTCACAGTTCTTTAACATTTGAATCACAAATGAAATTATCACAGGAGATTGATGACCTTAGTCTATTACTAATTTAAATATAAACTATAACTTTCTATAACTTCCAGTCAATATGCAGGGATGGGCGGTTTACTGTTTTTATTTGTGGCAAGTGTTTGCTTCCTACGGTAGTTGTCGTTGGATTCTCCTACACATGTAAACTGAAAGGATACAGCTCCATTAACCAGCTGTTGAGTGGAGTGCATGAAATGATACTGTAAGCTGCAGATTAAAACTGTAATGCTTCTTTAGACTGTGCACAACGTGACTGTGTTGTGAACAGTAGATTCAGAAAATGCTTAGCGATTGCCACATAACTGGTGGTGTCTTCTGTGATTAATCATGTGTGTGTAACTACTGATCTGGTGTAACTGCTGCTTTTATCGATGATGCCTGCATTCCTTGTGTCGGACTGTTTTTTTGGCATTTCTGATGGCTGCCTTATCATGAATTTAATGTGTGGATGCTTCTGGGTTTGATGAAACTGCAGTCTGTATCAATTCTTCCACAACAGACAGTGACGTACATTCTGTGAGGTTTTAGTTGGCACAGGAGCGGAGCAACTATGTGGGTGATCTGTTTGCTTTGAAACTGCAAACCAATTATCTGATTATTTAATTCTATATTAGTTTTTCTTTAGCGGCGTCCGTGGCTAAAGCGTTGCGAGTCCGACTCGTAAGCCAGCATACCGTGATCGAAACCCACTGCAGGCTGCGTGGATTTTTATCGTGGTATGGGACGTCGCAGGTCAACCCAGCCTAAAATGGGTACCAGGATGGGCTGTCCTGGGAAAGTAAAGACAGCCGGCGTAATGCTGACCACATTACCCACAGAGTGCTGATGGTCTGTAAAAATATGGGACGCTCTGCCCATTTGCCCAATGCCCCGAAAGGCGTGAAAAGGGATCTTTACTTTTTTTTAATACTAGTTTTTCTTTATTACACTAGCATCAGTACAAACACAATGCACTTGTCCTAATAATTAAACTGGCACTAACTTAACTAGCACTAACTGTTGTTGGTTGTTTATTTGTTAGGACGGAGACAGAGATTTTCCATTCACCTTCACAGAAGGCTTCTCCTCAACTCTTTTCTTTCTGCTCATTAGCAAACTCTCTTTGTCATCAACTACAGGGCCTCATGTATGTACCCTGGGGCTTTGTTTGTAGCCCAGTAAAGGGGCTCATGATAATAAAATAAAAAAAAAAAAAAAATATTCACATACTGCTTTATAAATATGCACCAAAGCTAACTCCAAAACATGTCATAAAACCTGCTCAGACTTTGGCAGTCAGAGAGAATAAATCTGGCCCACAGGAGCCAACCCTGCAAGACAAAACAATGGGGCATTGTGGAAGACCTCCCTTCACGTTTTGTGACCCATGTTGGAATAGATGCATAGCAAACATTTATCGCTGAGAAAAAAGAAGCTCAATTTTAAAATCAAAAACTGTTGTAATGGTTTATTTATCTACAAAAGTACAAATGGATTATCACAATGTCAGTTTTGAGAAAGCTCTGTAGATCTTACCGCAGAAAATGTTTTAGCTAAATGAATGTAGGCCACAACAAAAAATGGGTCCATTTTGATGGCTCTGATGTGCCAAGGCAGTGACTGCGAATATTTTCCTAGATCATACAACACACGCCCAATCTTCATAACTGCTTCTGAGCTTTCTGTGCATAAGAGACAGTCAATATTTAGCACATGTCAAAACATTTCAGAATTATGGTAACATCTGGTCCTTTTTTTTTTAGTAATGTTGTAAAGTACGAGAATACCTGCCCATAAAAGCAGAAGACAGACATAGAATTATGATAATATTTGTTCTTATTTAGTAATTGTAAAATACAAAAATACTTTCCCATAAATGCAGAATTCAGACACAAAATTACAGAAATATTTGTCTTTATTTATTATTGTTGTAAAATACAAGAATACTTGCTCGCAGAAGCAGGTCAGATATAGAAGTCTGATGTTCAGTCCACCATGAATTGTTTGATCTGACAACGCAAGCTAGTTTCATATGTTATTTCTCTACATATTGTAACACTGACGGCAATCACTAATGTTACACTGTCTTCTAAGTTTTGTGGAGAAATCCAGTTTTCTGCCACCCACATCAAAGACATGGTGCTTTATTGAGGTGATTCATTCATTAACCGTGTTATATCTTCACATATACTCTGTTGTTACATTGTGAGATGGGCAACTACCTAAGTTGTGCTTTACTGGTTGAATTCTTGAGCAAAGCATGAAAGTATCTAGATTTTTGTGGGTGCTTGCCTTTACCCTGAACAAATTCTCCAACTGGCTCTTTAAAAAAGCTACAGTCCATCGCCCAGAGTGAGGTATTCTCCAATAAATCAAACACTCTCCATACATATCAGAACTGCCGATCCACCTAGTACTTCAATTTGGTACTTTCAAATACTCTTGTACCAGATACAAAACAAGTCCATTTGTGATCTTAACACACTCTTGGTCTGCTTTAGAAAGGGTTTACTACAAATCAGGAAAACATTTGCTTGTGAATCTTGGAATCTTATGTCATCGTCTGCAAAAAATGCAAAAAGACATTTTTGGGGAAAACCGGTAGGAAGTTAGCAGACTCGTGAACATTATTTAGATATTGGCAAAAACTATTATCAGAACATGGCTCTCATCATGGCACGCCTGGAAGTCTCTCTTTCTCCAGCCAATTCTTCAGCCCTAGCACTTTCATAATCAATACATCTTCAATGTCCAGTATCCATGATGTTCAATACGGCCAAAACACTTCAGTTTTTGGGACAGTGTTGTGTGCTAAGCTCACTTTGCTGTTCAATTGTACCAGAGGTCAGAGGCATGACTGCCTATGCCAGTGGTGAAGGCGCTAGATGATTATGATAGCAGAGATGAGTGCAAAACGTCCACACTGGTGTGACCAGTTGGTGAACATGAATCCGAGGGTTGATAAGAATGTGAAATCCATGTGCAACCATGGGGAGGAAGAATCCTATGGTAGTTTGAATCAGTCAGTTGCTTTCAGTTCATCTTATTGTATGGTTATGTTTTTCAAGTCAAGTGGTTAAATGGACTGTGTTTTAACAATGTTCTATTCTGTGGAATTCCTGTGAATCATCTGGGATGATTGTAGTGTATCGTGAATTGGACTTGTGGGAATTCTGTCAGTCATGTCTGGAATGGACTTTTGTCAGTCCATTTGTTGTGAGGTCGATAGTGTTGCGGCTATGGGACACGTGCTTGATGGGTTTCTGTAAGTGTGCGGAAGGTGCCGGGAAACCAATGTGTAGTTATGATGAGGGGGGGGGGGGGGGGGGGGGGAGTGTCGGAGACTGACTAACGAGATGGTTAATCAGCAATACTTCTGGCAGACAAGAGGCCTGGAGTTTTTCACCAAGAGGTGCTTCTGTCTTGAGTCCTTGGTAACGGGCCCTTTTAGGTAGCACCGTCAAAGGATTGTCACCGCATATCACATGGTTGTATCTGCGCTGTTGGGTGTGAGTTGTCCGTAGAAGGCACCTAGGACATAGTTCGCTGGGGTGTTCTGTCCATATCTGGAGGGACTGCCAATGTGAATATTTGGGAAGGCAGTCGAAGACTTCACAGTGTGCCATCAATCACTACTCATCTTCATCGTAACAAATAATTCAATAAACAGACTGACGACCTATTACAGAGATCACTATTGAAGTTGACCTTGTGATTCTAGTGTTTGTAGTACGTTGTCAATTTGAGAACTTTTGTATTTGTACGGGCGAAGCATGATCATAACCCCCTAGACACTTTGCCAGATTTACGATGCATCCCCCAGATTGCATATAACCGGCAGGATGTGAGTGTTTGTCTTCTTCTTGGTCGATGGTATTCTAAGGATTTTTCTGTAGCTTCCAGTTCAAATGCTCTGATTTTTATCCCTCAGTGAGTTCATGACCCACATCCATAAGTTGCCACGGGAAAGATTCATGGTCTAAGCATTTTTTTTTTTACTTTAACTTTCTTGCAGGTGCTGTTGTTCTGTATACCCATTACATATAAGGATCAGCTGGCCAAGTGGTTAAATCCCTAGGCTCTCATAAGGGGAGTGGTGGGTTCAATAAGAGAGTAGAGATATTTTGTATCCATCGGACAAAAATTTAAATTCTACACAGCCCTAAATCCAGATTCAATACCGCTGTGTCTAAACCGCTCTAAACTGTGGTAAGATATCGACAGTACAGTAAGACAGGCCAATTACATTCAGGCCATAAAAATTCAAGGATGAATAGATGCCCACTTAAAAACAGCTTGGCAAGATGGATATATATAAGAAGAAGCAGAAGTGAAGAATCTTGTCTGTGCTTACCTGGCAACAGTTCCAGCCACTGTTTATAAACTTGAAACAGTTCAGTATTGTAGTTCTTTTGTTCTGTCTGTGGAAGCTCTTGGATGGCATTTACCAGTCTGGTAGCTGTTGAACAATGACACCAATTGTGCATTCATTAACTACAACAAATCAACATCAAGATTATCAGTCTGTTTTTATTTGTGTTATGGTTAATTCACTAATCCAGGTTATAAAAAAGATTAGAAATATATTTTATTGTTGTCAGTTTAAAAAAAAAAACTGGAAAAGACATTTTTTTTAAATGCTGAAAAAAGAATCGACATCATAGCACTCGGGATACTCCTATAAGTGCCCTGTCCCCATCTTCAGCAGCAAAGAGTTACAGTTATGATGGCACCAGTAACTATCTGATTGTATATCTGTCTTGCTTTTCTCTTGAGTGTTAAGCATCAACCAGAGCACCTGGTAACTCCTTGCAGTGCCATTCTCCTCAGACCGTAATGATCTATTTTCACTTTCGCACTGTTCGCTCGCTCCCAAAAGGCCCTCACAACATCTAGTTTGTCATACATCAGTTCACCACCAAGTGGTTTCAGAACTGACCAGTCTATCTGCCTGCTCATTTCCCAACACACCCGCTTGAAATGGAGAGAATTTCCAAAGGATGCTAACTACCGTCCTTATTTTTTTTTTTAAACTCCATTTGATGGTGAAATGCCCAGCATCACCCCAGCTGCCCTGGACACAACCTCCCAGGAAATTACTCGATAACCATTTAAAGAGCGGCTGAACAATGGGCCAAGGTCAGTTGAAAGAGAAAAAAAAAATCATTTTATGCGAATTTGAACCTAAGATGTTTTCATGCTCTTTAATTTTCATACAACATATTTCGGGGTGTCCCCGCGGTGAAGTGGTCAAACCATTTGCCTCGCACTCTGAAGGCCATGGGTTTGCTTCACAGCTGCACCATTCAGTTCATGAGTGCAATTTTAATGAAGATCCTAGGGGATCATTGCCAGAGATACAGGGTTCGTGCTCTTCGCGATGCTCTCGGCAGGTAGCTAGCCATTCTGGGGAGAGAGACTGAGCTGTATGGGATCAAACCTGGTGCAATAAAGCCGATCCTCTAGACTAACTTTAATACCATATTTCAGTTGGCACTTCTGACAGCTAGTCGCCTTATCCATATTTACTTTTTGCGTGCAGTTGGCACTTCTGACAGCTAGTCGCCTTATCCATATTTACTTTGTGCGTGCAGTTGGCACTACTGACAGCTAGTCGCCTTATCCATATTTACTTTGTGCGTGCAGTTGGCACTTCTGACAGCTAGTCGCCTTATCCATATTTACTTTGTGCGTGCAGTTGGGACTTCTGACAGCTAGTCGCCTTATCCATATTTACTTTGGGGTGGGAGGGGGTGATATTTAATGGAGATGTTATATATTTACTTTGGGGTGGGAGGGGGTGATATTTAATGGAGATGTTATATATTTACTTTGTGTCTGCAAGCTTCAGGACTTTGTTGAACTGAGAAGCCGTTCACTAAATGTGAAGTGAGTCAGTGAAGGATATTTTGTGTAATCTTCACTGGTACAAGAACAAAGAAGTTATGGTACCAATCAGTTCAGTAGTCAGTGTGTACTTGCCTACCAATGCAGTCAGTGTGTACTTGCCTAGCCAATCAGGCACAGTCAGTGCCAAAGTGAATCAGTTTCAGTGTGTGTGTACCAGAATACCAATGAGGGTTTCACCAGTCCTGTAAAATGGATACCAGATAAGTCTCTTTCTAGAAAGGTAGTGAAGAAAGGAGTACTTGCAACAAATTCAGTAGTCAGTGTGTAGTGCCAAGAGTGAATGTACTTGTCCTTGTGTGTGTACTTGACCATCAATGAATATAGGGTTGATCCAGTTCCTGTAAAATGGATACCAGATAAGTCTCTTTTCTACCCAAAGGTAGTGAAGTAAAGGAGTTGCAACAAAACAGAGTCAGTGAGTACTTGCCAATCAGGGAATGTTTGTGTGTGTGTGCTTGCAGAATGAATATAGGGTTGATCCAGTCCTGTGTACCAATGGATAATAGATAAGTCTGTACTTTCTAGAAAAAGGTAGTGAGTCAAAGGAGGTGCCTACAAAACAGTTCAGTAGTAGTGCCAAGGGAATGTTTGAGTGTGTGACCAGAATGAATATGGGGTTGATCGAGTCCTGTAAAATGGATACCAGATAAGTCTCTTTTCTAGAAAGGTAGTGAAGAAAGGAGGTGCCTACCATCAGTTCAGTAGTCAGAGTACTTCCAAGAGGGAATGTTTTGAGTGTGTACAGAATGAATACCAAGGGTTCAGACTTGCCTATCAAATCAGTTCAGTCCTGTAAAATGGATACCAGATAAGTCTCTTTTCTAGAAAGGTAGTGAAGAAAGGAGGTGCAACAAAACAGACAGAGTAGTGCCAAGAGTGAATGTTTATGTGTGTGTGACCAGAATGAATATAGGGTTGATCCAGTCCTGTAAATGAGTCAGTGTGTGTGCCTACCATTCAGTTTCAGTAGTCAGTGTGTACTTGCCTACAATCAGTCAGTATCAGAGTAGGAGTGTGTACTTTCAGTAGTCAGTGTGTGTACTTGCCTACCAATCAGTTCAGTAGTCAGTTGTGTCTACTTGCCTACCAATCAGTTCAGTAGTCAGTGTGTACTTGCCTACCAATCAGTTCAGTAGTCAGTGTGTACTTGCCTACCAATCAGTTCAGTAGTCAGTGTGTACTTGCCTACCAATCAGTTCAGTAGTCAGTGTGTACTTGCCTACCAATCAGTTCAGTAGTCAGTCAGTGTGTACTTGCTAGGTGTGTGCTCAGTCAGTGTGTACTTGCTTACCAATCAGTTCAGTAGTCAGTGTGTACTTGCCTACCAATCAGTTCAGTAGTCAGTGTGTACTTGCCTACCAATGCAGCAGCTTGAAGTTCAGGCACAAGTTGTGGCAAGAGTGAATGTTTGTGTGTGTGACCAGAATGAATATGGGGTTGATCCAGTCCTGTAAAATGGATACCAGATAAGTCTCTTTTCTAGAAAGGTAGTGAAGAAAGGAGGTGCAACAAAACAGAGTATTGGCAAGAGGGAATGTTTGAGTGTGTGACCAGAATGAATATAGGGTTGATCGAGTCCTGTAAAAAAGATACCAGATAAGTCTCCTTTCTAAAATGTAGTGAAGAAAGGAGGTGCAACAGAACAGATAGAGTATCCATATCAGGAATGTTTTGAAGGTAATGTTGTGAAATTGTGATTCCTTCTTTCAATATTTAAAATGTATATGTATACATGTAAGTATCATAAATACCTTCATATGAAAGCAGTTCAGCTTTGGTTACGGCATTTTTCTTCTGCATAGCTACAGCAATTGTGTCTCCCAAGTTGAGTGTGGCATGGTATGTCCCTTCTGGCTGAACAAATACAAAACATGGTGAGATAGTCAATGTCTTGTAATAATCAGATAAGCAGAATTTTAACGTTGGGGTGTAATCGGAGTCAGGTCCAGTTGTACAAAGAATCTGCTGCATAATGATAATGATGATGATGATGATTATCAAGCATAAACTGGTGTGGGCGATCACGCCTTCCCACAACCTGCGATATCCAATAGCTTGCATCAGTTTGTGTACTGACACCCTTTCATGCCTTCCCACAACCTGCGATATCCAATAGCTTGCATCAGTTTGTGTACTGACACCCCTTCATGCCTTCCCACAACCTGCGATATCCAATAGCTTGCATCAGTTTGTGTACTGACACCCCTTCATGCCTTCCCACAACCTGCGATATCCAATAGCTTGCATCAGTTTGTGTACTGACACCCCTTCATGCCTTCCCACAACCTGCGATATCCAATAGCTTGCATCAGTTTGTGTACTGACACCCCTTCATGCCTTATAAAAAGCTGTCAAGAATTTTCTTACGCTGTCTTCCTCTATCTCTCTGTCCACAAATGTATCTAGTGGTCCGTCACAGTGTGTACTGTTTTTCCTCTTCTCTAAATATGGGCAAGAAAATTATTACTGTCTTTTTCTGACATTTGTGTTAAGTTGTTTTTGCATCGTTGCCTCTTAAAAAATATTTCAGTTAAACATTTTGGCTGTACAAGAAATTTTAAGCTTCCTTCCGTAAAGCCACAAGTTAATTTAAAATTTAATGTAAAAATTAGCAGAAAAGAAACTGAAGTTGATTAAAATAAACATTACCAGATAAAGAATCTCTCCAGGCTGTTGCACACACTCAATAGGCTTGTCAACATCAGTCAGGTTTGGGTAGACATGATCAACCCACTCAAGAACACTGAATCCATGGTGCACACCTGATTAAACAACATTCAAATCATTTTGTTGTCCTGCTAACAGTGTTGCTGTCATGTTGACATGTCTGCTGTCATGCTGACATGTCTGCTGTCATATTGACATGTCTGCTGTCATGCTGACGTGTCTGCTGTCATGTTGGTGTCTGCTGTGATGTTGATATGTCTGCTGTCATGTTGACATGTCTGCTGTCATGTTGACATGTCTGCTGTTATGTTGACATGTCTGCTGTCATGTTGACGTGTCTGCTGTCATGTTGACATGTCTGCTGTCATGTTGACATGTCTGCTGTCATGCTGACATGTCTGCTGTCACGTTGACGTGTCTGCTGTCATGTCTGCTGTTATGTTGACATGTATGCTGTCATGTTGACATGTCTGCTGTCATGTCTGATGTTATGTTGATGTGTCTGCTGTGATGTTGACATGTCTGATGTCATGTTGACATGTCTGCTGTCATGCTGACATGTCTGCTGTTATGTTGACATGTCTGCTGTCATACTGATATGTCTGCTGTTATGTTGACATGTCTGCTGTCATGTTGACATGTCTGCTGTCATGCTGACATGTCTGCTGCCATGTTAACATGTCTGCTGTTATGTTGACATGTCTGCTGTCATGTTGATATGTCTGCTGTCTTGTTGACATGTCTGCTGTGAAGTTGACATGTCTGCTGTCATGTTGACATGTCTGCTGTCATGCTGACATGTCTGCTGCCATGTTAACATGTCTGCTGTCATGTTGACATGTCTGCTGTCATGCTGACATGTCTGATGTCTGCTGTCATGCTGACATGTCTGCTGCCATGTTAACATGTCTGCTGTTATGTTGACATGTCAGCTGTCATGTCTGCTGTGAAGTTGACATGTCTGCTGTTATGTTGACATGTCTGCAGTCATGTTGACATGTCTGCTGTGAAGTTGACATGTCTGCTGTTATGTTTAAACAAGTGTAGCTAATATCGTGGTACAAGCTGCTATAAACATGTAAAATGTCAGACCTACATAAATACTGGAGTCGCTGTGACACTCGCGGCGAGATGCCCGCCTGCGGATCGGAAGGTCGTAGGTTCGCGTCCTGATGGAGCTTTTTTCAAAAAATGACCTTGACCCCCCTCCCCCAGGTCGACACAGCTTTGAGTGGGTACCAGGTGCTGCCCAAGGGGGTAAAGGCGGCCAGTGTAATGCTGACCCCATCACCCACCAAGTGCTGATTGGTCCATAAAAATATAGGTCTAGCCCTATATTCCTAATACGCCTAAAGGTAACAAAAAAGGGATCTTTACTTTTACATAAATACTAGGTTATGAAACAATGAGATGGCATGAACATTTCTACTGCTTTTCCTCAAAGTGAGAGAGAATCTATGGGGCACCGCGATCACCTCCTACTGATGACTTAATGTATGAAGGCAGCTCCCCTGGCTGTTTAGACTGTAAACAAAAATAGGAACTAACTGCAAGAGACAAATGTTCCTTTACTGTTTGTTCTTGAAAGTAAAGTAAGTAAAAGTGAAGGACTCCTTTCCAAGTCCTTGAGCATATCGGGTATATAGAGTTAGACCTTTATTTGGTAGATGAATGATAAGTTTGACATTATGCTGCCAACCTTTACTTCCCAGGACTTCGCCTCCTTTACCTCTACCAGGACTTTACCTTTTCTTCTGAAAGTAACACAGAAATTATGGGACACCACAACATTATGGGACACCACAACATTATGGGACACCACAACATTATGGGACACCACAACATTATCGTGTTAATTCATCATGAATTGAATAGGTAAAACATAAATGAAGGTGACTTATCTGTTGTATAAGACAGCAGAGCACTGCCAACTGACCAGTACAACAGAATTGGGCTACTGTATTCTACTGAGTGAAATCTCAAATCCAGATTCAGAGTCTGTCTTGTCAAATGTTTACTGCACAAAGTGAAGCACATACATTTTCTTTCTCCAAAGTGCACAAGGAAAATAGAACTGTTTAAATAATATTATTTAATCAGAGTGTTAATTATACAGTTTGAATGTAACAGGTTTGAATCTGGGTTCTTACACTGATACTGACATATCATATCAGGCATATATTATTATGTTACCATATTATGGACAGACCAGAGCAAGTCATTATCCCAAACACAACATATAAAGGCAAAACTTTTGGTCAAAAGTGCAAGAAAAACTTTATCGGTCACTGAGTGAATTGTGAAGTTCACACTAGGAGAGAACATTGCAGATAAAGATAATCTATTTCAAGCAAACAAAAGAAAAAGAACAAGAAGAATATGAGGCATGTGTCTTTCTATTTGGATTCCATCAGTGATAATTAAAAAAAAAAGGTATTTGCTGGTATTGTTTCTTCTTAAAATTAACATGTTTCTCTTCCAAGATTGTCACATGAAAGACTGATATCCACTGACTAAAGCAGCCACCATCTGGTTGTCTTCTTCTTTTTCTTGTTTGCGTTCACCAGCTGTAAACTTTGGCGGAAATTTCTGGTTTTTCATCCACTTCTGGACTGCAGTCCTGTTTATGTCTGTATAAAGCTATTTTATGTCTATACAAAGCTATTTTATTTTTTATAAAGCTATTTTATGTCTGTACAGTTTTTATGACTGTATAAAGTTGTTTTATCTCTGTATACAGTTGTTGTTGTTGTTGTGTGTGTGTGTGTGCATGTGTGTTTGCGTGTATAAAGCTGTTTTAGGTCAGAGCAAAGTTGATTTATGTCTATATAAAGCTGTTTTATGTGCGGCAAAACTGTTGTATGCCCATGTAAAGCTGTTGTATGTCTTTATATAGATGTTTTATGTCTGTGTAAAGCTGTTTTATGCCAATGAAGCCGAAAAAGCTGAAAGCTATAAACTAATTACATGAATCTGGTGCAGACAGTCAATAATTTTGAAGTATGTTATGAGAAATGAACTTGCAAACTTAGTAATAACTGTCAAACTTGAAAGGAAAAGAGCCAGGAGAAGGCAAGAGATAAATATAAATATCTTTCTAGACAGCCTGACCACATGGTATTTAAGTGACACAAACAAAGACATAATAACATGGTGTAAAAATGACACCAATACAGACTTGAATTGATCACATGATATAACAATGACACCAATACAGACTTGATCTGATCACATGGTATAACAATGAAACCAATACAGACTTGATCTGATCACATGGTATAGCAATGACACCAATACAGACTTGATCTGATCACAAGGTATAACAATGACACCAATACAAACTTGAACTGATCACATGGTATAACAATGACACCAATACAGACTTGATCTGATCACAAGGTATAACAATGACACCAATACAGACTTGATCTGATCACATGGTATAACAATGACACCAATACAGACTTGAACTGATCACATGGTATAGCAATGACATCAATACAGACTTGATTTGATCACAAGGCATAACAATGACACCAATACAGACTTGATCTGATCACATGGTATAATAATGACACCAATACAGACTTGTCAGCAAGGTATGTAATGATGATGAATGTTTCTCAAAACATTCAGTTTACAAAATTTTCAATATGTAAATAAATTACAATTACCTCCAGGTGGAGTTTTTGTGTTTGGATAGAGGAACCACCTCTTGCTGCCGTACACAACCCCATTCCAGGTGTCAGAATGTTTATGGAATACTACGCCTGTCATTGATGAGCCCAAGAAAAAGACGCTGTCATCTTCTGAGGACTGTTATAAACAGTATCATTTTAGTACAGTCTAAAAAAGTTAACTGACAATCACTGTCGCATGATTTAATTAAAATCAAAGGAGACAAAACATAAAGTAAATGCAAAAATAAAACAGAGAAAATGTACAAAAATACAGTAGGGCCAATTTTTTGTTCAAAATGATTACTACAGAAAGAATCAAATATGAAATATTTAAAATCTTTATATTTAAATGTTTTGATAAGAAAAGATAATTATGTGCATATTTTGGCCAAATAAGATCACAAATAAAGAACTGCTTTCAATATTTTGTTCCTAATGTCAAACTTGGTGACTGTTATTATCTTACAAGAAAAATTATCATCACTGAGTTCAGTTGCAAGCAGTCACTTTTGCAACAAAGCCTCGGATGTGATGTCAAAGTATGTAGTTTTAAAATGGAGGTGGAGGCGGACACTGCAGCCTTCAGTTGGCTTGAGAATTAGCTACACGCATGTGTTGTAATTTTAACAGACTCATAAAGCATACTGAGAAAGGTGGAGATAGGTACCCTCTATGCAGAGTGGCAAGCATCACATGTGAGATCATGTGCAGTTAGTGTGCTTGGTATATTTTCTCCAGAGAATTAATGTGTGTTGGAAAATGAAAAGGCAGACAGACTGGCTGGTGATGTATCAGTGTGTGATAAACTGACGCAGGCCAAGCTAGATGTGAGAGCCAAGGCCATGTGAGAGCCAAGGCCATGTGAGAGCCAAGGCCATGTGAGAGCCAAGGCCATGTGAGAGCCAAGGCCATGTGAGAGCCAAGGCCATGTGAGAGCCAAGGCCATGTGAGAGCCAAGGCCATGTGTGAGCCAAGGCCATGTGAGAGCCAAGGTCATGTGTGAGCCAAGGCCATGTGAGAGCCAAGGCCATGTGTGAGCCAAGGCCATGTGTGAGCCAAGGCCATGTGTGAGCCAAGGCCATGTGAGAGCCAAGGCCATGTGAGAGCCAAGGCCATGTGAGAGCCAAGGCCATGTGAGAGCCAAGGCCATGTGAGAGCCAAGGCCATGTGAGAGCCAAGGCCATGTGAGAGCCAAAGCCATGTGAGAGCCAAGGCCATGTGAGAGCCAAGGCCATGTGAGAGCAGTAGAACAATGTGCAAGCATCAATATATCATTACGGTTTGGAGAAAATGGTGCACCCGTGAGTGACCAGGGGATCCAGCCGACACTCAACACTCAGAGGAAAAACAAGAAGGACATACAATCAAACTACTACTGATTTCACTAGAACTGGAATACATTGCCTGCTAGCTGAAGACACAGCACTTACAAAAATGCCCAAAATGCTGTGATTTTGGTTTTCAATCTGATTCAGTAGAAAATCGATCACTAGTGATAGTCCTGTTCTTAGTCTTAGTTTTAGCTGAGGTTTTAACATCAGTTAATTGGGGTTTTCCCATACTTACTCCATTACTGATCACATGGGGTAGGAGCCTGTTCCTACTACTAGGCACGTCCACCAGGTGGCGGATGGTAAAAAGGCCTCTAGATATAGAGGTTAGCCACGAATATATTGAATAAGTGGCCGTGGACCAAAACAGGTGATGGTCATTGAGAGGAGGCGAGTTAGTTGGTGGGACAGCTAACTCTATAAAATACCTCAAAACTCTACGACATGGCCATCGGCGGGTAAGAGGCGCCATAACCTCTTCCCCCTAGACAAAGGCTTTATACAAAGTCTATTGGAATCAAACCATATACAAACTGGCGGAAGGCAAGGGGAAACCACCGCTGTACTATCCCAAGAAAATCATGCCTCAAAATAATAAATTAGACATGGCTGTTGATCAATGCAAAAATTGTGAATTAACAATGGTACTTGGAGATTTCAACGCGAAAACAGGAAGTGAAAAAGTGTACGGAATAACGGGTGGCTATGGCCTAGGAGAAAATAATGTGAGAGGTGACAGATTAATAGCATGGGCTGAGTCGCGCAGCATGATAATAGGTAACACCTGGTTTAAACACCATCCTCGAAGATTGTGGACTTGGAAAAGTCCTGGTGATAATGTCCGCAATCAGACTGATTATATTTTGATTTCAAGAAGATTCAGGAGCAGCTTAGTTGGAGCAAAAACTAGACCAGGAGCAGACTGCTTTAGTGACCATGTTCCAGTTGTAGGAAAAATTAGAATAAAACTAAAGAACATTAGAAAAACACCACAGAACATCAAGTTAAATTTAGGAATTCTTAAACGGATAAAGAAATTAAGGACCAGTGCAATGTCACTGTACAAAATCGGTATAATGCAATGGAAATTATACAGACTATTGATGAACAGTGGGATATGTTGCGTGAGTCAATTCAACAGACATCTAAAGAGACAATCCCACAAACCCATAGAGTTGCAAAAAAAAATGTATGTCAACCGAATTTCTGCAGTTGATGGATGAAAGAAGGAAGAAAAAGAAGGATAAAGAAGAATACTCTAGAATACAAAAAGAAATAGTGAACAAATGCAAAGTGGCTAAAGAAGCCTGGCTGAATCAAATGTGTACAGAGAATGGGGAAAATCACAGGAAAGACTCACATTCCATGTACCAACAGATAAATATGTTAACAGGAAAGATGACAGGTAACAGCATTGGATGTTTGAAATCAAAAGATGGTGACTTATTAATGGGACATAGTAATATAATTAACAGATGGACGGAGTATATAGGGGAATTGTATGATGATAATAGACCAGATGTAGAACTGCAGACCAACAATGATGGCCCACCAATAATGACTGCAGAAGTTGAGGATGAAATACATCATATGAAGAAAGGAAAAGCACCCGGGCCAGACAACATCTCACTGGAAGAAATCGAAGCACTGGGAGATTTCGGAATTGAAATAATAACTAAACTTTTAAATGATATTTATAATAGTGGGTGTATTCCAAATGACCTTTTAAAATCCATATTTACAGCTCTGCCTAAGAAACCAGGCACTATAAAATGTGAAGACCATCGCACAATAAGTCTTATGAGTCACATGACTAAGATTTTACTGAGAATAATTATGAGAAGAAAAAGAAACAAAATTAAACCAGAAATCAGCGATGAACAATGTGGATTTGTAGAAGGAAAAGGTACAAACAATGCCATATACATCCTAAGGACATTGTCAGAAAGAGCTATAGAAGTAAAGACTGATTTGTACTTATGCTTCATAGACTATACAAAAGTATTTGACTGTGTGAAGCACGAAGAAGTAATCAAACTGTTAGAAAAATTAAACATTGATGGGAAAGATCTACGAATAATAAAGAATATGTATTGGCAGCAAACAGCAGCTATAAGAATTAACAACTGTTTAGGTACATTTCAAAGCATAAAGAGGGGCGTACGACAAGGATGTGTGCTGTCACCTGATTTGTTTTCAATATACAGTGAATATATAATGAGAGCTTTAATTGGTATGCCCGGAAATTTGGTTGGTGGGCACAATATAAACAGTTTACGTTATGCTGATGACACAGTCTTGATAGCAACAAGTCAGAAAGAACTACAGGAAATGATAGACATTGTGGTGTTAGAAAGTGGAAGAATGGGCCTCAGTTTGAGTAATGGGAAGTAATGGTGGTATCAAAGAAACGAATTATTCCTAAGTGTGTAATAAAAGTTGATGGTGTTATTTTAGGACAAGTACAGAAATTTAAGTATCTGGGCACATGGATAACATTAGATGGAAGATGCATAACTGAGATAAGAAATAGAATAGGACAGGCAAAAACTGCATTTTATCAAATGAAAAACATCTTGTGCAATATATTCTTGTCATTGAGAGTTAGAAAAAGAATTCTGGCTTCCTAAATACATCCAGTTTTAACATATGGCTGTGAATCCTGGACAATCGGTAGGCAAACAATTTCTGGAGGCTTCGGAGATGTGGTTTTACAGAAGAATGCTTAGAATACCTTGGAAAGCCAAAAAGAGCAACCAAAAGGTTTTGAAAGAGGCGGGAGCCCAAAGACAACTTATCACAGACATCAGAAGGAGACAGTCATCATTTTTCGGCCATGTTATGAGAAGAGGGAAAATATAACATATTGTGACCACTGGAAAGATATGTGGAAGGAGAGATAGAGGAAGACAACGAGAGAAGATGCTTGACAGCCTTGTTGCATGGCATGGAGGTGTGTCGGCACACGAACTGATACATGCTGCAGGAGATCGCAGATTATGGAGAGGCATGATTGCCCACGCCAGTCGGCAAAGCACCTGATGATGATGATGGTGTTGACTCCATTACTGTGTTAGTGCAAATCAAATTAAATGTCCCTCAACGTCTCATTTAAAAAACTGGTGAACAGTCACAGAACAATGTTGAAATATTCACATGCAGTACATGCATATGGAAGTTTCTAGAGGTGCCAAAACCAACAGTCACCACCAGAATTGCAGTTTGCAGTTAATGGTAGTAGTCGAGCATGATAAGTTGGCTATACATACTATGACTTTTTGAGTTTCAACTGACTTTATACACTCTTCTCAAATTGTCTGTAACCCTTCCAATTGTTACATTTATCCCCACTGCCTCAATTTTTCTTCTTCTTCTTTTGTCTGATAGGTTTGTTATGCAGCTAAGATCTTAGTCCTGATTATTGATCACTGAACATCTTAGACAAGAACTGTGTGTGGGTTCTAGGGCACATTTTTGGAAGAAAAAAAAAAGACCCACTGCTCTTTAACAAGCTTGTCCCAAAAGGCAACTAATGGAAAGTTTCCTGACATTTGATGTGTTAGGCCAAACAGGCAAAGATATAAGAGCCTAGTTGTAAACCGCAGAATAAGAAACCAAATGAGTTCAAGTAGGACCTGCATTACACTGAAAGAGCTCAGTGCTTAAGAAAAACTTTAAGAGTTAAAGCAGAGACAGAATGCTAAAGGACAACATAAAAGATATGATCTGCTGACCCCATTCCTGTACTCAATAGAAAGTGTGAGTTAGGGTCAGAGACATTAACCACCTGAAGCTAGACAAACGACAATAGATCAAATCATGGAGCTCTTACTTTCTGAGAAACTTTCTAGCAGCCACATGATCAAATTACTTGGTGATTTCTTCTTTTGTGTTCACCTGCAAAAGTGGGGTTAGCACAATAGGTTGTGGTTTACAACTAGGCTATGATATCTGTCCTTTTCATACAACATATTTCATTTCAGCAAATATTTAGTTGCCTTTTATGACATGCTTGGTAAGGAATAGTGAATCTGTTCTTTTACTCAACCAAAATAGTGCCCTGGAACCTTCATGATGACAAAATTCTTTTCATTCAAAATTTCTATTAATTCTAAAACTTTGTCAATAAATAAACAATTGAAAAAATCAACACTGTACCTACACTGACTTCAAAATATTTGGGTAAATGAAGAGTCTTTGGTAAATTGGATCTTCCGTAAAATGAGCGATCAAACACATAATGCCTGCAAAATGTATAAAACAAAATTATTGTGAATAATATAAAACAAATTATAAATAACCAGTAAATAATTCTATAAGACAGTTTTTAATTTATTATCAAAGAAAAAACATCTGTCATTTCAAAAGATGAAAATGTGTCTTTTTATTGTTTAAATTCAAATGCCTTGCCTCCAGGCCTATAAAATCTTGTAAAAATTTTCTTAGCTGAGGAAAAAAAACCCAGGTGGGTATGGAGTTGTGGAGGAACCAGATTTTTTAAACAAAAACCTTTAAACGAGAGCTTGTACTTACATGGGCTCAAGTGTTCCAGTCTTCTTATCAGCCATCAGGTTGGTGAGAAATTCCTGGAAAGAAGATGCATGTCTGGCGTTGCCGCCTGTACGGACAATCTCCAGAGACTGACCAGAATGTATTGTCCATTTGCTGTAAGCTTTTGAAAGTTCAGATCTTGACCACAGTCCTGGCTCCGTCCAGTCAGCAGCACCATTAGGGAATGTCACAAGTACTGGCTTTTTAAATCTAAACTCTGTTTCAAATCTGGCTTCTGGCAGGTTGTTGAACGATACACGTTCAATGTTGCAAATATCTGAGCCATATTTTTGCAGTACCTCAGCATCCGGCAATCTCCAGCCTGATGACTTAAAATCAATTTCTTCTAAGCTGGTATTAGAGAAACTCCAGTGCAAGCTGGCAAAATGTCTACTTGCAAATGGAAGCACAGTCTGGTATAGAAAAACTAACAGTACAGTTGTTATTGTGAGGAAGACTATAATTTTTGTGGGTGTTCGATAAGAATAGATGTTTCCTGACAATAAATGAGACAATGATAATAATCCTGCAGATCTGGGCTGCTTCTGGTGCGGTCTGTTTAATCTTTTTGGTGATTTAGTTGCTTGAGATGATAAGTTTGATGTAGTTACACCATTTCTGATTTTCCTTTTGATGACATCTTGTGGAGGTCGTCGGCTGCTCATTGTGATTTTCCTGGGGGAAAAAAGATTGTCTAGTTTTAATGCTGGCATGACCATTTTTCTTCTTTATTTTTCTTTGAGAGGTTGTTTTGTAGTTTACAACCTGGCTGTGATATTTGCATATTTCAGCCCAACACATAAGATTTCTGAAAATTCATGACCACTAGAGTACTACTGGAGAAAAGGGAAACTCCATACAACATCTCTACCTTTCAGTGGTAGAGGACAGGTGTCCCACAGGTCATGTGTCCCACAGGTCAGGTGTCCCACAGTGCAGGTATCCCACAGGACATGTGTCCCACAGGACAGGTGTCTCACAGGTCATGTGTCCCACAGGTCAGGTGTCCAGGACAATTGTCCAACAGGACATGTGTCCCACAGGTCAGGTGTCCCACAGGTCATGTATCCTGCAGGTCAGGTGTCCCACAGTGCAGGTGTCCCACAGGACATGTGTCCCACAGGACAGGTGTCCCACAGGTCATGTGTCCCACAGGTCAGGTGTCCAGGACAATTGTCCAACAGGACATGTGTCCCACAGGTCAGGTGTCCCACAGGTCAGGTGTCCCACAGGACAGGTGTCCCACAGGACAGTTGCCCCACAGGTCATGTGTCCCACAGGACAGGTGTCCCACAGGTCATGTTTCCAACAGGACAGGTATCTCACAGGTCATGTGTCACACAGAACAGGTGTTCCACAGTACAGGTGTCTCACAGGTCAGGTGTCCCACAGGACAGGTGTCTCACAGGACAGTTGCCCCTCAAGTCATGTGTCCCACAGGTCATGTGTCCCACAGGTCATGTGTCCCACAGGTCAGATGTCACACAGGTCGGGTGTCCCACAGGTCAGGTGTCCAGAACAATTGTCCCACAGAACATGTGTCCCACATGACAGGTGTCCCACAGGTCAGGTGTCCCACAGGACAGGTGTCCCACAGGACAGTTGCCCCACAGGTCATGTGTCCCACAGGTCATGTGTCCCACAGGTCAGGTGTCCCACAGGTCAGGTGTCCCACAGGTCATGTGTCCAACAGGACATGTGTCCCACAGGACAGTTGTCCCACAGGACAGGTGTCTCACAGGTCATGTGTCCAACAGGACATGTGTCCCACAGGACAGTTGTCGCACAGGACATGTGTCCCACAGGACAGGTGTCACACAGGACATGTGTTCCTCAGGACAGTTGTCGCACAGGAGGCAGCTAGCACCGACTTCAGACCATAGGCAGCAACCCCGCTTTGAAATGTGAAGTTTATCTAAATAAAAAGCTGTAATTTCAGACTTAGAGTCAGCCCTGCAAGACATGTTAAGCTCTACTCAGGACCAAGTCATCTCAGGAATTTAGTTGAGCAGGGAATTCTAGCCCACTATCTAGCCCTAAAATGTTAGATCAGATGAACTCATGAAGGCTACATGGAACTACTGCAGCCCCATCTGCCTCAGGGCTTTAAAACGCCAGACACTTTTAGAGCAATATGTGAAGCTGAACTAGAGAAAGATGGAAAAGGGGGGGGGGGGGGGAATATGTGAAGCTGAACTAGAGAAAGGGGGGGGGGGGGGAAGAGAAGCACTTGAGCATAGCCAATTAGGCTCAGAGTGGTAAGCATCAGAAGCCCTTTAGCCTCAGTGCCATGTACACCGTTAATGTGGGAAGTCGTCTACTTCTGGACTTTAGTCTTGATTTACCATTTGAGTTTTGCTGCATACACATCCGTGTTACAGATCTGGCTTTATTGTATGCTGACTGTAGGTCATTCGCCTCTCAAGAAGAGCATTCTGTCTTAGACTGAAACAATCAAAACAAGTCGACTCTCATATGCTTATTGAAAAAAAGGGGGAGGGGGTAGCCTTGGTCTTCTGGGTAACCTTTAAGAGGTAAAGTAAAAAAAAAAAAAGAAGTCAAGAAGCCTTGTTCAGCCACATGCGCATGCGGTACTGTATGTTTCTAGACTTGATGAGTGATGTGGTCGTCATCAAGCTGACCGCATTTACTTTCCAAGACATTTGCTGGTACTATTGCAGACTAAGCCGACCCAGGGACCAAGGTCCAATTATACAAATCTGTCACCAGTTTCCTTTGACAATTTGTCTGGTGCTGTCATGGGACCCTTCCTTGGACTGAGTCGTGTGATTTAGGACTGCACATTCTACGGAGATTCTTGTGACGACCGTTTCGTTCGGGGGGGGGGGGGGGGGGGGGGGGGGAGGGGGGGACCGGGTGCAAAGAAGTCTTCCTTGTTCACCATCTGTAAGAGCTCGGGTGGAAGATCCTAGTTGTTGGTTCACTCAGACTTTGGCTTTGTGCCAGGACCTGAGTTTTGGGTGTACATCCGTTTTTACTGGCTTATTCTGTGTGCAGTTTTTGTTCATTGACGCTCGAGCAGAAAAAAAAAAGAGGGGGGGGGGGGGGTGATTTTAAATAGGAGCCCAAGTAATGTTTAAGCTAAATCCATTTGTATTTATAACAATCAGTTATACAATCATTATTTTCAGTTTATTTTTTAATGTTAGCCGTCATAAAAATAAAACAAAGTTTGATGAGGAGAGTGATCTCCGTTGTGCCTTGTCCAACAGCAGACAATAAGCAGACTTTATGAAGACCAAACAGTGTCAACCATCACAATGATATCTGGACACTGAATCACCATTAGCTGATGACTGTTTTTGTCACGTTATTGGAGACTTGTGATTGATGCACTATTGTTTCGGGATTGTTCTTATTGGCCTCTTTTAATTACAAATTGTTTTAAGCAGGGCCAAGTGTGGGTGGGTGAGGTTGTCTGGGTGTTGCCATAAATGGGGGAAAAGAGGGTGGGGGGGGGGGTCGGGATTTGGCCATATAACCGGGGGGTGGGAAGGGGTGTCGGGGTCTTGCATATATTCGGGGGGGGGGGGGGGTGTGGGAAGGGGTTGTCGGGGACCGAGTCCTATATTAGGGGGGAGGGGGGAATAGTCAGGACCTTGTATATATTTGAAGAAGAGAGGATGTCAAGGTCTTGTCATATATTCGGGGAGGGGGAGGGGGATGTCGGGGCCTTGCTATATATATTCAAATTGGGGAAGGGGGGATGTCGAGGCCTTACCATATATATACAAATTGGAGAAGGAGGGATGTCGAGGCCTTACCATATATATACAAATTGGGGAGACAGTACCAGACACCCCAGTGGTGTGTATGCGATACATCCTTGGTTTGCCAACGGTTGCAGGTAGGCACAAGGTGCTGCAGGCGAAGTCATATCTCAGGGTAGCTGCAGACACAGGCCACCCTCTGCATGAAGCTCTGGGTGCAGTTAAGGGTCAGCGGCTGATAAGAGGGAGGTCATGGATGGCTCAGGCAGAAGACACAATCAAACAGGTTTGCATCCTTGAGAACATTAGGCGAGGAGAAGAGTGGGTCAAAGTGCCACCTGAGCAGTCAGACCTGTGTAGAGTCATAATCACGCTGAGCCGGGAATGCAGAGACTGGTCAGCAGGTGCCACAGAGGTGGAATTCAACAATTAATTCAAGATAATGCTCACTCGGAGGATTTGATCATTTACACAGATGGTTCAGTGTCAAGAGGCAAAAGAAGTGCTTGGGGCTTCTTGGCAAAAGTTAATGGTCGACGTTTGGTGCAGGAGAGCCTGGCATATGATACCACAACATCCAGCTTAAGAATGGAGGTGGAGGCGGTCACTGCAGCTTTCCGCTGGCTAGAGAACACGACACACACACATTGTAATTGTAACTGATTCAGAAAGCATGCTGAGGAAGATCAGAACAAGTATTCTTCTTGCAGAGTGGCATGCTTCGCTGCGGAGGACACGGGTGAGGTGTATTGTCTGGATTTTTTCACCGGGTCACGCCGGTGTGTTGGGAAATGAACAGGCGGACAGACTGGCTGGCTCTGCACAACTTGGTGGAATACTGATACATGATAGGGAAGATGTGGTTATTGCCTTGTGGGAAAGCGTGTACAATTCGGAGGAGCAGATGGATCACCACAGTCTGGTGAGATTGATGGAGTTGGGGGGTGACGAGAGGTTCTGGCAGAAGCTCGAGGCTCAGAGGAAAGGCAAGACGGACGTTTAATCAGAAAGCTACTGGCACCATTAGTATCGGAACTCTTCGCTGGCTGCTGAAGATAGGGACGGAGCGCTTATGGGAATGCCCCGAGTGCTGTGATGTCAGTTCTTGAATCAAATCAAATCAAATCATACAAATTGGGGAGGGAGGATGTCGGGGCCTTACCATATATATATACAAATTGGGGAAGGGGGGATGTCGGGGCCTTGCCATATATATACAAATTGGGGAGGGGGAATGTCGGGGCCTTGCCATATATATATACAAATTGGGGAGGGGGGATGTTGGGGCCTTGCCATATATATAAACAAATTGGGGAGGGGGGATGTCGGGGCCTTGCCATATATATATATATACAAATTGGGGAAGGGGGGATGTCGGGGCCTTGCCATATATATACAAATTGGGAGAGAGGGGAAGTCGGGGCCTTGCCATATATATACAAATTGGGGAGGGGGGATGTCGGGGCCTTGCCATATATATACAAATTGGGGAAGGGGGATGTCGGGGCCTTGCCATATATATACAAATTGGGGAAGGGGGATGTCGGGGCCTTGCCATATATATACAAATTGGGGAAGGGGGATGTCAGGGCCTTGCCATATATATACAAATTGGGGAAGGAGGGGGGGATGTCGGGGCCTTGCCATATATATATACAAATTGGGGAAGGGGGATGTTGGGGCCTTGCTATATATATACAAATTCGGGAGGGGGGATGTCTGGGCCTTGCCATATATATATATACAAATTGGGGAGGGGGGATGTTGGGGCCTTGCCATATATATAAACAAATTGGGGAGGGGGATGTCGGGGCCTTGCCATATATATATATATACAAATTGGGGAAGGGGGGGGATGTCGGGGCCTTGCCATATATATACAAATTGGGGAGGGGGGAAGTCGGGGCCTTGCCATATATATACAAATTGGGGAG